AGTCCATACATCAAGATTACAGTGACAGACCCGAAGCACATCAACAAGGTCAGAAGCAGTCTGGAGACCGGAAACCTCAATTGGAGGGGGATGTGGAAATCTGCAGACGGAATCTTGACATTCGATAGCATTCAATATGTCCTTCGATTTATGATTGACTGTCACGTATGGTTTTCTCTAAACTCTATGTGCATTTTCTAACTCGCAGCAGATATCCGGCATGTCTTGGGTTGAAGCCCCTGCCAAACAGTATACCATGGTCCCGCAGCACCAGCGACATTCAAATTGTCAAATTGAAGCCTCCATATCATATCGAGACCTAATCGCACACAAGCCGGAAGGCGAGTGGGCAAAGATGGCACCGTTACGGATCTTGTCTTTCGATATCGAATGCGCTGGACGCAAGGGTATCTTCCCAGAAGCCGATCATGACCCTGTCATCCAGATTGCAAACATTGTCACCCGGTACGGAGAAAAGAAGCCTTTCGTCCGGAATGTCTTTTGCCTGGAGACTACAAGCACGATCGTCAACACCCAAATCTTCGAGTACGAGAAGGAAGACAAGATGTTGATGGAGTGGCGGGATTTCTTGGAGAAAGTTGATCCTGATATCATCATTGGTTATAACATCTCGAATTTCGATTTCCCATACCTGCTCGATCGCGCGATACATCTTGAGGTAGACGGTTTCGACAAATGGACAAGATTACACGGTACTAGATCTACCTCCGGGGATTTCAGCATCTCAAGCAAGCAGATGGGCAATCGTAAGACCAAAGTTACAAACACGAACGGACGACTGCAACTAGATCTTCTACAGCTGGTCCAGCGTGATCATCACCTGCGAAGTTATACACTCAACTCCGTCTGTGCCCAATTCCTGGGCGAGCAGAAAGAAGACGTGCATCATACCATGATTACCGAACTTTTCAACGGGACGCCGGAGTCGAGACGAAGATTGGCAGTATATTGTTTGAAGGATGCCTACTTGCCACAGCGCTTGATGGATAAACTATCTTGTCTCGAAAATTACACCGAGATGGCAAGAGTCACTGGGGTGCCATTCAATTTTCTTCTTTCCCGTGGTCAACAAGTCAAATTCGTCAGTCAACTGTTCCGAAAAGCACTGGAGCAGAAGCTTGTTGTACCAAATATGCAGACCAATGCATCTGACGAGCAGTATGAAGGTGCCACTGTCATCGAGCCTACGAGGGGTTATTACGATGTTCCCATTGCCACCCTGGATTTCGCTTCGCTGTACCCCAGTATTATTCAAGCGCATAATCTTTGCTACACAACGCTTTTAAACAAGGCTGCAGTCGAGAAGCTGAATCTTGTGAAGGACGAAGACTATATTGTCACCCCGACTGGTGACATGTTTTGTACCACGAAGCAGAGAAAGGGACTATTGGCCCAGATTCTGGAAGAATTGCTCACTGCTCGAAAGCAAGCCAAGCGCGAACTGGCTATCGAGACCGACCCTTTCAAGAAGGCTGTGCTGAACGGCCGTCAATTAGCCTTGAAGATCAGCGCCAATAGTGTTTATGGTCTTACTGGTGCTACTGTCGGCAAACTTCCTTGCCTCCAAATCGCTAGTAGTACGACAAGTTATGGTCGTCAGATGATTGAGAAGACGAAAGCGGAAGTCGAGGCAAAGTACACCATCGCCAACGGATACACCCACGATGCCCAAGTCATTTATGGTGATACAGATTCCGTCATGGTGAAGTTTGGCGTTAAAGATTTGGCAACGGCAATGAAATTGGGTGAGGAGGCAGCACAATACGTCTCATCGAAGTTCATCAAACCCATCAAGCTTGAGTTCGAGAAGGTTTACTTCCCATACCTTCTCATCAATAAGAAGCGATACGCTGGTTTGTACTGGACGAACCCGGACAAGTATGACAAGATGGACACGAAGGGTATTGAGACGGTGCGGAGAGACAATTGTCGGTTGGTCCAGAATGTCATCGAGACAGTCTTGCGTATGATCTTAATTGACCAAGATGTTCAAGGAGCGCAAGAGTAAGTTTTTTTCTCATTGTCCCAAGCGCCATCTAACATTTCACAGCTACGTCAAGGATACTATCTCGGACCTCCTGCAAAACAAGATCGACATGTCGAAGCTGGTGATCACAAAAGCTCTTGCAAAAGTTGATTATACAGCCAAGCAAGCGCACGTTGAACTCGCAGAACGCATGAGGAAACGAGACGCAGGCTCAGCACCCACCCTTGGAGACCGAGTCGCCTACGTGATTATCAAAGGTTCCACCGGCGCCAAGAACTTCGAACGATCCGAAGACCCAATCTTCGTCCTCGAGAATAATATTCCTATCGACACAAAATACTACCTCGACAATCAACTCGCCAAGCCTCTCGGCAGAATCTTCGAGCCTATTCTAGGAGAAACGAAAGCCAACTCTCTTCTTGCAGGCGACCACACACGCTCCATCTCCGTCGCGGCGCCCTCCATCGGTGGGCTCATGAAATTCGCCAAGAAGACATTCACCTGCATGAGCTGCAAGAAACCTCTAGTAGGAAAAGCCGAAGCCGAAGGAGCAGTATGCTCAGACTGCGCTCCTCGCGTAGGAGAACTTTATCAGAAGACATTGAGCAAAGTCAGTGATCTAGAAGTGAGGTTCAGTAGGCTTTGGACTCAGTGCCAGAGATGTCAGGGAAGTATGCATTGTGAGGTTATTTGCTCGAGCAAGGATTGCCCGATTTTTTATATGAGGATGAAGGCTAAGAAGGATGTGGAGGATGCGGGGAAGGAGCTGAGTCGGTTTGATAGGGATGCTGCTGCTTGGTAGGTATCTAGCAGGGGAGATAGAGCAGAGAGATGATATTTCATTTGATACGTACGTTCGTGATGAGACATGGAAATGGCAACGGGCGTTTTCAAGGTTCTGAATGCGACAATTACTTTTGCATGGGAATATGGCGACGTTGTACAAGTATAGGTAGACATAATAGCACGTATTTATGCTTCGGGTGGTTGTGCATTGGAAGTCCTGGTCTCGTATGCAGCTCTCTCACATGACCTATGCTGATTACCACAAACTCGCGGAGGCACTGTTGATTCCCTTCATCGAGGGCTCAAGAAGCTGGGGCTGCTCGACTTGCTCTCCCTCATTGGAGACACTGAAGTGGTGCCTCGACATAGTATCTGGGCTGTGGCGTCCAAGACAATGGAGCAGCTTTGCCACCTACATCGCCCCTGATCACCACAAGATGCACTATGGTTTTGAATTAGCGCACAAATTTATGCCAGAATGTTTTGGACTATACTTTTGGAACGTTTACTATTTCTTGGATTTGAAAGCTCTATTTTTGATTCAGAGTGAAAGATGCCTCGACACGGCCTTAAAGCTGCATGTCCTGCACACTGAGCATGTTCGACAGCTGGATCGGCTTCCACTCCCATATGACGGCTGCCCTTTTAATCTAATGCTCAAATTAGTCGTTCAGATGCTTCGGAACATGTTTTTTATATATATTGCAATATCTGGATTTCATCACATGTGATGGTGGTACAGTTCGTCTCCAGCGAGAACATGACGCGTAAAGTCTCAACGAAACTGAAGGTCACTGTCATCAAACTCAATTCTGGACATTTAGAATACCCGGAGAATATTCCTATCATGCAATTTTGGTCTCAAAGGCAATGTATCTCTAGATTCCAGCAGCCGAGTCTCCGCCGACAACGAGAATACGGCGCGTAAGAGCTCAACGAAAAGGAAGACGAATGCTATCAAACTGAGAGTCGGACATCTTAAGCATCTGAATTACGTTTCTGGCCTAGCATCTGGGTTGCTAGCATAAAGTGGCTCTGATGTTGGGTGCTCAGGCTCCTTGAAGTTATCTCCTACTTCAGCGAGAATTTGACGCGTCGTGAATCTGCACCCAGGACGGTGGGTGTCGCCAGGCTTGGGCCCAAGCTTCCGATGTACTCGGGAAACATTTCTATGGTACAGTTTCAATTTCCTTCTCTTAATGTTGACCTGAAGCTTGAACCGAAGTCATCGGTAACGATCAACCGCGAGGGTCAACGAATCTTTGAAGAACGACACGAGAGACTTCGAGCCTCTGTTTCAAGGCCTCTCATTGTACATGGATGAAGATTTGGTCATATGACATCGGTCGGGAGTTTTACGTGAGGAGATTTTGTGATGCTCTGTGATGGGTAGCCACAGTCTTTGCTGGGTACGGACTACCAAGTGGATCTCCGCATTCCATGCGAGCATCCAAATGCCTTTCAGCTTCAAAGATCGTCCGAAACCTCAGGAATAGATCTTCATGCTGGTAGAGCCGAATGTAGTGCTGTTAGGGTGCGCAGATTCGGCATTCCTGAGATCTCCACGTATACCAGCACCGGGCATTCCTGTAATGTAGGGGCCATCGTAGATGCAAACCATGTCATTCACTGAATACTATTTGCATATCGTCCTGAAGCTCAAACACTTGAGAAGCTCTGAGTCTCACCGAATTATGCCTACACTATGATATGCTGGCCTGCAATGCGTTTGTGGAAGTTGTGCCTACTTCTTCCTGTTAAAGTGTCGGTGTGTGCAGCTTGCAGGTGATGTGTGAAGGTGACCCTTCTCTTTGTGCTTGTATGGATTTAAATAAGCAAAATGGGCCCCAATAACTACACAAAGGCATCATAGCAGTGTCGGTAGAGTGCGGCCCTCCAAATTCTGGAGAAGATCTCGTTGTCACGAGTCCGAGTCCAGTTGATGCCATGACATGATTTTTCGCCATTCTGGCATCATCCAAATACTTGATTGCCCTTGGATCCTGTCCTTCTAGTTTGGCTTGAATTTACATCACTTACATCTCTTTTTATTCAGGCAGGAAGCAAGCGAGTTGTATTGAGGAAGCTGCTCTACCCGTTCCTTCCTATGCCGGGAGAAACGTGCAGGCGACGTGTGAACTCCACTCCCGCTACTGTTGTATGTATAGATTTAAATAAGCAGATTTAACTACAAGAACCTCAGAAAGCCTTGCTGGCGCAATGGTAGCGCGCCGGCGACCGTTGCCGGAGGTTACTGGTTCGAATCCGGTGTCTGGCGATACAATCATCTTTCAATTTTTTTTGTATCTCTTTTATTTCTCCTCCTATTACCTAATGCCCGAAGGACCGAATTATCGCCCCCCTTCTTTTTCTTATTTTCTGAGTTGTGCATATCTTATTTTGTTCCAACGAGCAAACGAGAGATGTTATTGTGGAAGCTGCTTTCTTCGTACCTTCTCTCGGAGAAGAGGTGTAAATACCTAGCCGAGGATAGTGACAAGTGACATAAAGCACGCCCTGTAGAGATACTCGACCTGTATTAGGGTACAGTCCGCTTTCGAGTGGTGACTCAATGTCCCTCCTACACGGAGTCATCGATGGCAGTCCATTTCGTAACGGCACTAGTACATGTATTCTATTCCAGCTGGAGTCCTGCACTGTTTCCTACCACAATATCTCGATCTCCCAACTTGCTGGAACAATACGAATCTCAACATCTTTTATTATATGTTCCACTTTACGTCGGGTACTGCGTCGCAACATCCAGTCACTGCCCATTGGCGTATTGAGGTCACGTGCTAGATCAAAAGATGATAACCCCCGAAGCGGCTCTCAAGAACGATCAAAGGTTACACCGAATTCGAGAAGACAAACGATATTTTGACCTCAGTGTACTCAGACGTTGTTTTGGGCTCTCCACTGCCAGTGATTTCACTATTGCAGAGGCCTACTTCTCTATATCAGCCCTCAGCTGTGAGCGTGCCAAGTTCGAAGATCCAGTATTCGTGTCTCTGGACACAGAAGGCCAGCTGATCACAGAATTCGGTCTCTCAATTCTTGATACCAGAGATCTCCAGAATCTCGTTACCACCGATGATCCCTCTAGCGCAATTTCGAATCACAATTTCATCCTCAGAAAGAGATGGGGCAGGGACGACAAGCACTTCAAATTTGGGACTTCGAAATCTCTCGAGCCTCGCTGGACCCGCTGGATTCTTGAAAAGGTTCTTCGTACCGGCTCTCTCGACCCAACATACATTGAACCTCGCAACGTGGTTCTTGTTGGACACGCCCTCGCGGGTGATCTCCAGTTGTTGACTTGGCAGCCCAAAGGAAAGTTCGACATCCTCGACTTCCCAGATGTCCCAATCGTCGATACTAGTCATTTAGGACGTACATTTTACAACCAAAAGTCAGATCCCAGCTCAGTGAAACTTGCCAACTGGCTTGGCATCAAAAGGTCCTCCAGGGGATTCTACAACCATAATGCAGGCAACGATGCAAACATGACCTTGAAAGTGTTGCTCATGCTTGCAGTGACGAGCTGTGGAGAGGACGTGACCGACGCTCAGAGGAAGAGGATGGAGTTGTTGACGAAGGTGGTTGAGGCGTCGAGACCGGGACGATGGGTCGAGGTTTGCTCCGAGGATAGGGATCGATTGAAAGAAGAGCACAAGAAGGGCAGGGCTGAGGATTGGACGACTAATTTTGAGGATACGTTTGGTTTCTCGAATCTGGTCTACGAAGGCGTGATCTGAAGCTAGAATTGTAATGGCAAAGACAATTGTTTCAAGTGGTCTGGCATTTGAGAAGACCTGGTGATTATTGCTCTTTGACCCGGTGCTTCGCGAGAGAGCTCATCGGCATATTGGCCATGTTTGTGTCGCTTTCAAGTGAGTGATGGTGAGCGCTAGTGCCTTCGATGTTAGCTTCAGGGGCTCGCTTCGCTATTTCTCTGAAGTCTGGCCTCTGAAGTGGCGGAAGATCAGCGCACAGCCCTGAATAAAGAGAGTAAATTTAGCGGTCGAGGCGTGATCAAAATCTTTCGCTCCCAACCATCCTCGCTCCTTTGAACACATTTTTCATACTTCAAACTCGGAATTCCTCATTTATATTCAAGCAGAATTTAGGTGGCATTAAAATAACGTCGCCATGGCTATCGTTTGTCTAAGAAGCTAATGTGAGAGAAATTGCTTACATGCACGAAAAGGCTACGCAGGATGATTTTCTTTGCGCATCGGCTGAACTTTACAAGAATCGTTATATATCGTTCAAATTTTTGGCGCAGTTTGCTTCTTTGGTCTAATCTAGTTGTAGGAAGTGGTCTCAAAGGAATCGCATAGTGTAAGTATCATTTCACGTGACCGATTGTACTTCTGGACCTTAAGCTCTTCGTCCGTGATCGATGTCGACTATTACGGTCGCAGATATCGACTTGCTGAGTAGCTTACGGTACACCTTCAAAGCCTCCAAGCTGATCAGTTAGGAGACTTCCGTCTCCATAGTCACAAAAGGTATCCAGCTACTTCCGGCATGAAAAGTGGTATCTTCCTTCTTTATTGATCTAACATACTATATCGTGTGATGATTTTGCTTTGAAGAATGACCAGTGCTTTAGTCTAGCCGGAAAAGGTCCCTAGATGGTTGTTCGAGCGGCGGCAGCCAGCTGCAGCGGAGACTCCAATGAGAAAGTCAAGAGGCGCACGCATGTCCCATCAGTGAGCAGACATTTATGATATGCTATCTCTCGTTCGCGCTATAAATGCAATCCTTTATGTTCGGGTCTAAGCTGTGAAGCATTCCTTTGACCGCAAGCTCGCTGTCTGAGGGTCGGGCTTAGCTCATTCCTGCTGATATGGTTAACGTAGGTGTTCCCACCGTCGCTGGACAGCCTACACCACGCACAGCCCAAAACGCTACCGACGGAACAACTCGGTTTTTCGGACAGGAAGCGTCTCTACGGTGCTTCAGAACCCCATTTCGTATGATTTATGAGGGGCAGTTTCGTGGTGGGGTAAAATGAGATCACTTGATTTGCGCCGTTTAATAGTTATGCATGAACCTCGAGTTCGCATGAAACTGGGGATAGCCCTGATCGTTGCCTTTTCCGTTCAATTAAGCTTCAAGGCGATAACGGTCCAACGGGAGGACCAAGTTAGGATTCAAGAGGTCGATATCACGTGACGGATCTGCTTTAACTTGAATGTCCGTCAAGAAGCGCACTTGGTAACCGAAGACAAATCGCACATTGTAAGAACTGGTCGTCCGAAAGGCTATTGTACTTCTCTTCTTCTCTTACATACATCTTGAAACCTGGATGATTCAATAAGGTTGAACATCGGTCAACCTGCAAGGTCCGCTTGCTTTCTAGTTCTGTGCTCCCTGTATCATATCCTTCTACCCTCAGACCTCCTCAATCTCCTTTGAGTCTCTATAAGTCCTCATCTATCTTCATCCCACCACCTGAGAAATACTTGACAAGGTCTATAAAGCTTCTATCTGCCCCATAACCCCTTCAACACCAAAGTACTGCCTCCTACCTAACTTTAGTCACCGGACTTCAACTCAGGTTTCTCAACAACTTCATCCGACATCCCTCGCTTCACCCGCCACTCCAGCATCCATTGCTATATTCCAAGCAACCCAAAAAGTAGTCGACAGCTCTTGGCTTCCTAAGTTAGTCACTGGGGTTAGTCCTGCGCTTCCAAAGTACTGGTCCTCCGCGCCACGAAGAGGCGTCTGCCGTGTCGAAGGATTATTTTTTTTTTTTTTTTTTTTGTTGTTTTGTTTTTTATCTCTTCACGTCCCCAGAGATGCAGCAGTGTCGTTCCTGGAAAAAGCTTCGATGGTGCGTAACATGGAGGTTGATTGTCGTAGAAGAAGGATGGATGCGTTTCATCCCAAAGTCGACTGCAAGATTGCTACCAAAGTCCCTTGGAGATTCAACGAAAGTGTCCGCGTCTGCTTCGCGCAGTGCAAGTCTCCTCCCAGGACAGCAAGAACGGTAGGATTTACGAATAACGTGTTCTCTTGCACCCTCGCAGTTTGTCCGCTCATGCACGTGGAAGCGCATCCGCTAACATACTGTTCAAATGGCTCAAGAACTATCGTTGCAGCATGGCCTGCCATTCTCGCCTGTCCCAGGTTTTGACTCGTCTAGCAATGCAATTGCTAACTCGATCATTCGAACCTCCTGGCGTCTTACTTAGCAAAGCAAACGGTCGACAATGAGATGAGACTCATCACTGGTCTTGTCCTTCTTGGTGCCATCCGTGATAACTCGCAATTGCCTAGGCCCATAGTATTCGTTGAAGGTCATTCTCCTGGGTTTGGATCAACTCGTTCTCGGCAATTTCGCATGTGTCGACGGTAATTGTCTGCTCGTGGAAAGCCATTTTTCGAACCGCTGCGACTATACTTGCACGCCTCGTAGTCGCAGTAGTAAGTCCGTCCTTGCTGTTCCCGGTGGACAGACGCCAAGTGACGGCGCAGGTCCTTCTGATAGGGAAAGACCTTGGAGCAGGATCCGTGTGGGCAATTCCAGATTTTGGCATGGTACTTCTGGTGTTTTCTTGCGGTCATTAGCAAGTACTCGTGCTGGAAGTGTCAAATACTGACCTGAATTCGCTCCCTCTGGTGAAGGTTCGAGCACATTGACTGCAGTAGAAGAAGCTATCCTGAGTAGTGTCGTTGTCTGATGGAGGCGGCAACGAATCGAACAGGGTGCCTTTAAGTCCACCAGACAAGTCGAGGAAGTAGTCAAACTGTGCATCCCAAGAGAGTTCTCGTTGGTGGGAATCGGAAGAGGGAGGAAGGGAAGCAGAGGTTGAGCCGGGGGGAGATGAGTCTTGACCGGGTAGAGAATGATTTGATTGATCCCAGGAAACGGGGAAATCATGTTGGTTGAGGGGTTCAGCGACTACATATGGCGGCGAGGTATCGAAGCTTCCATAGGGCTCTCGATCACTGTAACATCTTTCAGTTATGAACCTTGCCGGAGACTACGTGTAGTCCCCGGAAAAGGGTCTGTAAGAGACTCGTGTTAATAATGCATCACACCTTGTTGGATTTCAGGATTGCATACCACAGGGAATGTTTTGAATTTGGTATTTTTGATTCTGAAAGAGTTGCTAAAAGAGACCCATGCTGGACAAAATCCAGACGTCGAGGAGACGACGGCATCTTATCATACTCCTCCTGCAGCCTGATCATGTGATTGATGTGGCCCAACAAGGGGGCGGCCTCTTTTGGGCGCCAATCGAGAGCCCACGCGAAAAG